ACCCTGCACCACGTATTCAGTAAGTATGCGTTACCCACAGATGAGCAACCCTCCTCGCCCAGCTCACACATCATTTCTCCAGGAAAGCCCTCCAGGCTCCATCCAGCAATCAGCCAGGCCTTGCAGTGCCCCCTGCATGTGCACATTTCTACTGCCCTGTGGCCACACCCAGCCTGTCATCAGGGCTCCTAAGCTGGGTGGAGGTCACCCCTGGGCCTGGAGGCTTCAGGGTGGTGACATCGAGAGGGTAGGTTCCTGGCTGCTGAAAGGGCAGCATGCCAGGGACCAGGCCCAAAGACCCCACCACCACCACTTCTGTGTACAGGTGCTGGATTCAGCGCCCACATCCCCACCCTGCAGCTGGCTCATGGCTCACATTAGTGCTCCCTTATGCTCTCAGTAGGTGCTCTCATATGCTCCCAGGAGGTGCTCCACTGCCCTCCTAGGAGGTGCTCCACCTGGGCTGCTCCCTACTCAGCTGCCTGGTTGAACCAGCCTCTGAGGAAGGACTCAGATCCACGCTGCTTCTGTGAGGAGGGACATGTCCGACACCCAGTTATGTTCCAGTTGTGCATTTTAAGTCTGAAGTTGCACTGAAGCCAGGTGCTGTGTACCCAGCACTACACACCCTCCGATTCACCCACTGTCAGCCTGGGCATATCTCTGCATCTCGTATGTGCACATTCGTTCATTGTCCACCAGACCATTAGAAAGTTGCAGAGGTCATGACCTTTGCCCCTAAATCCTTGAAGAGTCACTTGCCCCCAGGATGGTGCCCATACTGTTGTGGTTCCACTAGCACATCCAGAAGCCTCACTGGGAGACGACATTTCTCAGCACACAGAGGTCTGAGTTCCCGTTTTCTCAGCTGTCCCCAAAGCGTCCAGTGCAGGAGCACAGCCCCCAGTGGGGCTGGGCCACGTGGGCACCTTTCTCTTCCCAGCCCTGGCCCACGGCCCAGTGCCAGGACCCACCAACCCAGGACAGGAGGCCCTGGGGGTCCGGGGCCTGCTGCCACATTCACGTGCGGTTCCCAGCTACCCTGCTGACAGCTGGACGCGGCCCCCTGCACCTGCACTGAGCGGCCTGCCTCCAGCTGTCAGCCCGGCAGTCTGGGCGTCTGGTGTGGAGACAGTGACCAGGGCACTTGGCCTTCAAACAAACCAGGTGTGAAGTCCCCTCCTGCCGAGAGAAGAAGGCAGTTCCTGCGGAGGCTCGGAGGGCACACTGGATGAGCCAGCCCACTGCGCTCTCCCCCCAGGTGCTGGGGCCACCTCGGCCGCCAGGGAAGCAGCACCTGCTGGAGACTAGGTGGGGGACAGGGTGGACAGTGCACAGTACTGTCACCACCCAAGAACTGCCTGGCTGGGCTGGGCTGGGCGCCCCAGGGACAGGCCCTGCCTGACTCAGTTCTGGGTCACCTGCACCTCTGTGACTCAGCCCCGGCAAGCAGGTGGGGGAGGCTGTAAAATACACTTGTCTGGAGCCTGTGGGGTGAGGCCTCATCCCCCCACCCTCGCCCATGCTGTCAGCCTCCTCTCTCACTCACCTGGCCCTGGGGAGAGGCCACAGCAGACTGGGTAGCTTGGGGCTGCCCCCACTGGAGGGGCTGAAGCAGGCTGTGGGCACTGCAGTGGGGGTGGGGGAGGGAAGGGTAGCCCCAAGACCGTGGCGAAGGTGGAGGTCGTCACTGTAGCAGTAGGCCATCGTCCACTGGCCCCAACACTCCATCTGGGTGGACAGTCCCACCCAGGACCAGGAGGAGAAGGGAAGTCAGGCTTGGAGGACGGGTGGGGGTCACCTCGCTGTATGGGTGGTCCGTCCAGAGGCAGTGGTGGGAAATCCCATGTGCGGAGGGGGCCTCCTTTCCCTGGGTCCCAGAACCCTGCCCAGGAGGATGGGCATGGAATGTGGGTCCCGGGGGCCTGGAGAGGGTCCAGGGGGTGATCACGTGGGCTGGGAAGAGCGTGGAGATGGTCGAGGGGACACAAGCAGGGGCCAGGGAAAGACAGATGCTGGGACCCTGTGTGCGGTGGGGTGTGGTGGTGCACGAGGTGGGTCAGGTCAGGTCATGGGTGTGGCCTCCCAAACTGGACATAGGCAGCTCACCAGGCAGGGAGGCGGTTTCATTACAAACTCGTTCTTCAAGCCTCTGAAGTCATAGTGTGATGTGTGCATCATCTTAAATAAGTCAGAGGAAACATGTATTCCAGAAAACATCGGGTGGGCCTGGGTGACAGTCTCCACGGTGATGAGAAGATGTAGGTGGGGGAGACGCTGAGTCCAGCCCCCGGCCTCCACCCTGCAGACTCTCTCCTGTCCAACAGCGGTGTCCCGGCCCCCAGCGGTGTCAGCCCCACCCCATATCTGAGGGCATCAGCCCCATGTTGCCTGGAGAAACCTGAGGTACCTGAAGGTGGGTGGAGGTGTGACCCACAAGAAGGTGGGCTACACGCCAAAAGAAAGACTTGAGTCTTCTGCTTAATGGAGCAAATGGTGTGAGGCTGTGGGACACAGCCGAGGGAAAATTAAGGTGCCGACGCGGCCCCGAGCACAGATCGGGGTGGGAAGGGCTGAGGTCACAGTCGGGGTGGGAAGAGCTCTCACTGTGGGCTGGCTAGCTGAAATGGGGACCAAGAGATGAGGTATGAGTGACCCGGAAATGCTGGGCCTGCCTGGGTTTCCTGCAGAGGGCAGGGCTCAGGGGCTGAGGGAGACGGGGCATCGCATAAGGCCTGCTCATCCACCTGGGAGGCTCCGGGTCACAGCTGTCACCACCCCCTGAGGGGTGACTCTGTGAGGGGAGCCCTGGCATCCCCGAAGGACTCCCAACCACCTTCTCTGTGGTCAGACCTTTCAGTGGGAGCCATGAACACTCAGTGGGACCAGACACAGTGGGAGTACTCGGATCTGGGGGCAGGGCCCAGCAGGGCACTCAGCTGCCAAGGCAAGGTGGGCACGGTCCCCGTGATGGACAGCAGGGCCCAAGCAGTGCGGGGAATAGTCCACCTGGCACAGACCGGCGGCCCTGGTGGGTTGGTCATGGCACCCTGAGACTTGGGATGGACAGGAAGCCTGCTGAATTCTCACTCCATCTGTGTGAGCAGAGAAGCTCTGGGTCAGGTGAGCAAAAGTCTAACCCGAATCACAAAAACAGAGTCATGGCTTTTCAATCAGTCCCCAGACTAGCACCGGCCCAGAACCCCTCCAAGGAAGGGCCCTGTACACTGCCAGCAGTTTACGCTATTGATCTCTCTCCCCGCCTTCCCCAAGGGGCCTGCGGAGTTGGGGCTGCTGTGGTGGGAGGGCCAAGTGAAGCCTTCAGGACGGCCTCTACCGAGGAAAACAATCGACCAAAACAGCACCCCACCCCTGGAGGGGCTGCAGGGGTTAGTGTGCTGGAAAGATGCAGGCGGCGGACCCCACTATGCCCCAACTCACCTGGCCTGCGCTGGGCCTTGGAGACTGACCGCGGGTTCTCATAAGCCCCAACTGCAGCTGCTCCAACAGACACGGCTTCATCGCTTGGGCAGAGTGACACGTCTCCTGGAACACGGGGCACAGCTATTGCTCTGGAAAATGTCTTTTTATCCATTCGTGTCCAGAAGGCCCCCCAGAAGTAGCCCGCTTTCAGTGGGCAAGGCCGGAGACACATTCACAGTCCTACCTGGGGCACGCCACCTGTCCAGGCCGACAGCACGACCTAGTTCATGGGGAGCCACTCCCTCCCCGAGATGGCCCGCAGCCCACCACACTGACGACACTGGATGGGAAGTAGTAACTGGAAGTAGCAACTCTGGACTTACTGGTGAGACATATGATGTTAGGGGGTGGGATCGAGATCCCACTAAAATTGTGGGCCTTCTCCCTCTGTGCGTGGGCCACACTGAGGTGTCCCACCTGAGGCGAGGGATGAGCAGCTCCATCTGGACCCTCTTAGAACCATGACAGAGGCCGAGCCTTGTGGGGGCAACCTAGCCCTTGTGTGGGTGTGTTGCTCCGGCCCATCTTCGAAGTGATCGGAAAAGCTGCTGGCTTGACTGGGCCCCAAGGAGGAGAAGGTACTGCAGCAAGTCGGGCTGTCCTACAGGTCCCGGGTGCCTGCAGTGTCAGTGCAGAAGGGACGCAGCATCCACTTGAACCTCTGGAACATTCTCTGTACGTTATCTGGGGAAGACCGTCCTCATCTATAAATGGACCTGATGAAGCTCCAGTGTGGACCCCACAGGGGCTGTGGGGTGGCCCAGGTGGTGCACACAGAGGCTCTGGGATGGGCATGGAACGCTTTCCTCTGAGATTCAGGAGCAGGGACCCTCTCGACCTCTGTCCTCCCCACTGTCCAGTCCTGCCCCTCGCCCCAGAGCAGCTGGTGCCGGTTCTACCCAAGAGCATGGAGGGGCGCCCGACCCCAGACCCAGGGTCCTGTGCCCTCCCTGCAGAGGCGCTGTCCCACCACGCCTGCCGGCCAGCCTCGCACATCCCCCAGAAAACAAGGTGAAGTATTGTGGTTGAGTCTAGAGAAAGCGTTGAAATGTTTAAAACCATACTTCTTAATTTTAAAAGTAAATACGCTTATTGAAAAGAAAGTCAGTTTTTCCGCAGGTGCTGAGGGAAAAAGAGGTATTTCCCATGGCCCTGCCCGCGGGCCGCACGGTTGGTGTGTTTCCCGGTACCCTCAGGGCACCGCAGGTGTGCAAGTGTGCACACATGTGTGAGTATGCCCACATGTGGAGAGTGTGCAGGGACTCACAAACCCAGCAAGAAGGCCTCACTGAGCCTTCAGTCCCAGCAGCAAGCCTGTGGGATGCTGGCTGGGCCCCGAGGCAGGTGCAGGCGCCGGTGGGACAAGGTCCGGACATCAAGCCCAAGTTTTAGAGGACACGTGGCAGACCTGGGGGTGGCAGCGTGATCTGCCTTCCCGTGGCCGCGTTGTCGCTTGGGGGACGCAGCGCCTGCCCGGGGCACCCGCACTGGGGTGCTGAGCAGAAAAGACTTAAGCCTGTCGGTGTCAACAGGAAGCTCTTTTGTTGGCGTCTTTGAATTCTGTCTGTTCTCACTTCTTTCAAGTCGGGCCGAGGGCGGGCGGAGTGGCTGCCATCTCCCTGGGTGACCAGCCTCTGAATGTCCACAGTCTCCTTTCCTGGCGGCCGCCCAGCCCACCCACCCAACAGGCCCCCCGACCCTCTCCAGGGTCTCAGGGATCCCTAGGCCACAGCCGCTGGCAGGGATGTAGTGCGGCCCCTGGGGTGCAGAACCTGCTGCTGAGCGCAGTCCCTCCTGCTCCCTCCCCAGCTCCACTGCCTGCACCCGTGGAGGTCTCGGCCGGCCCTCTCGGTGAGGGTGAGGGCGTCAGACTGCTGTGCTCCTGTGCTCGTGGTGGTGGTCAGGGCGGCGCCCCGGCTGGGCTGCTGGGACCCCGAGGCTCAGCTCCCTGAGGCACCCGAGTCTTGTTCAACAGGACCTTGAACCACCAAAGGGCTCCGACCTCAGCCTGCATTCATTCCCGTCTGCAAGACGTCCTCCCAGGAGGGTGTCCGGCACGCCATACCCTGGCCGTCGGGCAGCCGCTTCTCCCACCCACAGCTCGGGTCACGAGAGACCGGGTCCTGGGCACTGTTGTCTCCCTGGGAGCGCGGCCCCAGCCAGACCGTTCCTGCAGCCTGCCCTGGGAGATGGACTCCAGCCTGTGACCCCTCCTTCCCTGACTTGGAAGAGGGAGAGAAGCCGCTGGACTAACCAGCATGGCCAGTGTGCCCGTCGAGTGCGGGCCGTGAGGTGTGAGGAGACGGCCCTGTCCCGGCCCCAGGTCACGGTTGGTGCCCCAGCGCTCCTGGCTGTCTGAGGGTCCCAGGGCCGGACCCTATTACCGGCACTCACCGCCGAGGGCCTGCTGCTGAGAGTGTCCTGATTCCTGGTTTCCTGCCCTGCTGTGGGGGCCGTGACCCTGTGTCCCTGCCCATGTCCTGGGGCTGGCAATGGCTGCCGCTCAGGGTCACCCAGGACCCCCAGGCTCAGGCTGGGTGCAGAGCTGTTCTCGATAACACACTTTCATGCTTGCTTTCTTGTCTTGCTTTGCTTCTTCTCCTGTTTGTGAGTGTGGTTTCTGTGGATTATAAGCAGCTTTGACCATTTCCTGAAAAATCACCGTTCTAGGTAAACTGCGAAGATTTTTTTCCTTCCGAGAAAGGTGAAGTTCGAAGGATGGGCGATCTTCCTAGCAAAGCAGTGGGCCCTTCCGAGTCCAGCCGGGGCCTTTGCCCCTGTCACCCACGTGGAAAGGGCCCGTCCCTGCCAGGCACACCCTCGGCAGAGGAGGAAGGCTTGGGAGGCACCTCCCCTAGTTAGACCCCATGTGCTTCCCGTGCTTCCAAAAGCGTCCAAGCAGGAAGAACTAACCCTCAAAAAGCAAAAATAACTGCATCTCCCGAGATGGCCCTCAGCCACAGAGCGCCGCCCGTGCGGCCCACACTCCTAGGTCCCGGGTTACGTGTCTTGTAATTTTACATCTGAGCTGAGCAGGCCTAACCAAACCCCACCCCATTCCCCAAAAGACTGAAGTCTGCGTCTCCTCGCTGGCTCCGAGGCCTTTATCCTCGGCCTGTCAGTGAGGTGGACGTGAACCCCTGCGGACAACAAGACAAAACACAACAAAAGATACGTGAGCAGAGGGCACCGGGGGTGGGTCGGGCCGGTCAGCGCAGGCTCCCACGCCCCCTGCAGCCTGGGGCCAGGAGCGGCCAGGGTGGCCAGCGAGACGCAGTGTCGGGACTCAGAGTGTCCCGGGGGTGAAACAGCCGTCCCTGGGGATGAGGGGGTCTGCAGGGGCCTGGCCGGGTCCACCTCGAGGCGGACCGGCTGACGGGGTTTTCTGCTGCTTTCTGTAGCATTTCTCCACTTCAGGACTGAAAGATGTCGACGCATAATCCAGCGAGGGTGACGGGTAACTCGGTGTTTCCCTTCTTAACGGGCAACCCTCGGGTTTGTATCCCCACCGTCACCTCCTTATATAGCCGGGAAGCAGACTGCAACTTTCCGTCACCCCCAGTCACCCCCACAGGCCAAGTGGCTGGGAAGCCAGTGCCACCTGCAGCCCCGAGGGGTCTAGACCTGACTACCAGCCTTCCCGAGGCCATGCACGGCAGGACCCTGATAGCCTGTCATCAGTGCAGGACCCCACCAGGCAGCAGCCGTGCAGAGAGAAAGGCAGAGCTGACAGCAAAAACAGCTGCCACCACCACTGACACAACGTCCTTGTCCTTTGTGACAGAAACAGACGTAACGCAGCGGAGGGGGTCCCACAGTGGTCGGCAGCCTGGCGGCACTTCAGGTGTCCTCCCCAGGCCAGGGGGATCCTGGGCCTGGTCCCAGGGGCTCCTCACACTGGACACGGCCCGAGACGCCCAGGCCAGGGTCCATCAGGGTGGAATTGCATCTGTCCCTGGTGGTGTGGCTGGACGTCTGCAATTCGGGGTGTCTACAGGCGGGGCTGGCCCTCCGGGGGTAACGATGGCCACAAACAGCCAGGAGCCCAAGCCTAGCTACCTCCCAGAGTCACCCTGAGACATTCTGGGCCAGGACTCTCCCGGGGGCCACCCCTAGGTGCTCCCTCATCTCCACGCAGGACGGGACCTGCTGTAAGTGCTGCTGCCCTGGGCGAGATGATGCTGGGGCCACTGGGGTATCTACGGCCAGGCACCTCCAGGGTGGCAGGTCTGGGGCAGGACCTGGAAGGGCTGCAGAAGCCGGCAGCTGCCATCTCACCCGTGGTGGCCGGACACCTCGGGCACTGCAGTGGCCCCAGTACCTACTGCAGCTCCAGGCCCACTGGCTGAGAGCTGAGGCCACAAACTCTCCAGCTGTGAGTGGCTCTGTGGCTCCAGCTCTGCATCCCAAGAAACCTGAAACTCCATGAGCACCAGCGTGGAGATCATCATCAGAGCCTCGGATTTCATTTCGTAGATTTCTGCACATTGCAGATCTTCTCAGGAGAAAACCCTGACTTGTCCTTCAGTTGCTTCCCCAGGACCATGAAAGGGTCAGAGGTGTCACCCCACTTCAAGCTAACAGGATGGGCGGCCAGCCACTTTCTCGAGGTGCTGACAGAAAACACAGGCTCCTGGGTCAGAGTAGAGGAGTTGATCACTCACAGCAAAAGCAGCGACCAGGGGGTCAGCGTCAGCGAGTGTGCATGGGTCCCGGGGCCCCTTGCCCGGGTGACATGAGGACGCTGCTGTGCAGGGGGTGTGATGGAGGCAAGTCTGCCCCTCCCCCAGAGGGCAGCACAGCCCGCTCCCCAGGGCTGCTCCCAGAACTGGGGGCCCAGCTAGGTAGGGAGGAGCACGGGAGACCCACACAGGAGTGCCTCCCAGCAAAGGCTACGGGGGCTTTGAGATCTGGCCTCAGATCTTGGGGTTCGGGGAGGCAGAGCTGAGGGCCAGGCGATGGCTGTCCCTGATGCAGACACAGGCCACCAATTCCCCATCAGCGGGTCAGGGTCCTGCCAGCCCCCTGGGCCTGGGGACCTGTGAGTGGGCAGCCTAGGAGGCAGGAGGCCTAGCGAGGAGCTGACCCCTCCTCCCAGGTTCCTCCCTGTCCCCTCCTTCTCACTCTGCCCCATGAGAGGGGAGACCATCGGGACAGGGTCCCACTGCTGACCCAGCCCCAGTGCACCTGCTTCTCAGGCAGCCTGAGTGGCCTCTTCACTGACACCCTGGCCAGGCCCTGGAGGCCTCTGAAACCTCCGGTGTCCCTACTCCTCCTCCAAGTTCTATCAGGTGTGAATTTATCCAAGCACTTCCTCCCACAGCTGATGTTTTCCTGTTATATTTAGGAGGAAGACGTCTGCTGGCCTCTCCTGGCTTTCGCCAGACCTCGCTGACTCAGGGCCCCAGCTGCTCAGGCACTAACACCCCAGGGCACTGGCACTACCTGCAGCTCATCCCAAAGTTGAGGAGCCACTGGCTTAAATCCCCAGCAAAATCATCCCCCTGTGCAAACTGCACAACCTGGCGGCTGGAGGTGATGCTTCAGGTCTGAGTTTCCCTCTGCCTTCCCGACCTCACATCACGCTCCTCTGGCTTCTTGCTCTACCCTCCTCACCCTCTTGAGCCTGACAATGAGTCCCGCTGGGACCACTACACGCAGCTCCCGGGCAGGCCTCACCAGCCCGCAGTGTGCTGTGCACCCCCGCACTGTGGGACACCTGTGGGGTTCTACAGCCAGCACCCAGAAGTGGGGAGAGGTGAAGGCTTCCGACCCTTGAGCTCAAGTGGACAACTCTCCACGGCCCTGGGAAGGTTCAGTCCGCTCTCTGCCTCCGCCTTGCTCCCCCGTCCAGCTTCCTGGGAACAAAACCCCTCACGCGAAGACACCGAGTCAGGTCTACTTGCTGGGCTGAGGGGGTGGGCGCCCAGGCTGGGACAAACATTCTCTGTGATACTCGAACCTTCCCGTCAAATCTACCCCAAGTGCTTGTCCAACTGTTAGTTGAATGTTTCCCGCGATGGGAACCTCATTACTTCCCCCGGCTGGTAAGAACTCCAGCTTTGGCTCAGTCTTGACTAGCCTTAAAAAAAAAAAAGGTAGAAAAGGGGACACTGGTGCACAGCACACAGCTGGTGGCTCCCTTGGGAGTGGCTTACTTTTGGGGTGCTCTGGCCACAATGGGCGGCCAGTCTCTGACAGATTGAGTGCACTATCCTCTGCAGTGCTGGGCTGGAGTTGTATTGGGGTTCGTCTTGGCGGGGAACTTGGACAGGACCCTTGCTCAGAGGTCTTGCTGCGTGGGCTGTCGAGGGGTGTCCAGCTCTTGGCCTTAAAGCTTGACCTCACTCTTCATTTGGCTCACCCGGGGCAAACTGGTTCTGACCGTGGGCCCAGTGTGGCTGAGTCCAGACCCACACTCAACTTTGCTGCCTACACCCCCATAGTAAGAAGGGGGGTTTTTAATTTGGAGGCCCTGGCAGTTGGCACTGGGTCCTCTGAATACAACCAGCACTCACCAGCCGTCTGCATAAACAGTAAAAACTTCAAAATAAAGAAAAATGTCCCTCTCTGGGTGAGCCAAGAGCCATGCATTGCCCCCTCCTCCGGTGCCCTGTGACTGTCACCCCCTCACCTCACCCCCTCCCTGTGTCCGTGTCGGGAGAGGGGTGTCAGGCCCCACAGCCTGGCCCCTCTGTTGAGAATCTTGCTACCATGCAGAGAAGAGACTCAGCACCCTCCCCCTCCCCGCCAAACCCTGCATTTCTGAAGTGCCTCCTGGCACAAGGGATGTTTGCAAAACGCAGACTCTGGCCAAATTCTTTTCACGGGGAGGCAGTGAAAAGCAAACTCCTGGCAGCAGAAGCCGCACAGGAAGCAAGATGGGGACAGCCAAGCCCGACTTGATAGCATGTGCTGGGGAGGTCCAGACGCCGTGGGGATCCCTTATCTCTTCCTCCCTCTGATTACTGAGGTCCAGCTCCAAAGCCCAGCCTGTTCTGGAAGCTGCAATGTGACTTTCTACCAAGTCCCTCAGAGTGAAACTATTCCTGAGTCACCGACCCCTGGAGCGCATGAGGTCCTTGGAAACAAATTTTCAGATTGCTTCTGTCCACTGCAAATAAGGTTGCACTTTTGCTCATCTGACCTAAGCGTTTCCATTTGTACAACAGCCTTTGAAAACACCGACAAAAATACTGACGCACTTTAGGGGAAAATGACATTTGAAATGATGCTCACAGGGTATGAGGTGTAAGTTTGCTTTGCTGGAATTGCCGGTTTGCAGAATGATCTGCACGTAACGTTGGCTCGGGCGGTGGTGTCTGTGACCCAGACGGGCCGAGCGGCGCAGGCGGAACCCACAGGACGGCGCAGCGCCCTCCCACGACCCGGGGATTCCCAACCACTGGCCTCCCTGAGGACCTCAGGGCGGACTGGATCCCTCGCTTGGGCTGGACGCGCCTCCCGCCGCTCTAGGCCGCGCCTCTCACTGCCAGCCGGTCCCGCCTCCTCGGCGCCAACCGGAGATCGACGTCCCTCTGCGCCAGTAGGGGGCGCTCGGATGTGGCCCCGCCTCCCGCGAGCCGCCCGCGCACGCGCCGTAGACCGAGGTGGGCGGGGCGGCCCAAGGAGCGCGCGGCCATGGAGGCCCGAGAGGACCCAGCCGCCGCCCCCGGCCCGGCCCGCGCCCCCGCCCAAGTGGTAGGTGCCGGGCGCGGGGCCGCTCCGCCCTCCCGCCCTCCTCTCCTTACCCTCCGCTCCCCGCCTCCCTCCGTCTGCGCGGCCTCCTCGGCACTCGTCTTCCTCCGGGTGCCACGTGCGGCTCTCCCCTCTGTCCTCTCCCCGCCGGCCTCCCTCTCCCTCCTCCTCCCTCAGTCCCTCCCCCCTCCATCCTTTCCCCTCCATTCTCGCCCCTCCGTCCTCACTCCTCGGTCCTCCTCTTCTCTGTCCCCTCCCCCCGTCCTCCCCTCTCCCCTCAGTCTTCTCTCCTCCGTCCTCTCCCCTCCGTCCTCTCCCCTCAGTCCCTCTCTCCTCTGTCCTCCCCTCTCCCCTCCTTCCCCCTCTTCTCAGTCCCTCTCTCCTCTGTCCTCCCCTCTCCCCTCCGTCCCCCTCGCCTCCATCCCTCTCCCCTCTCCCCGTTCTGGGCTCTGGGTCCCGTCTCCCCTCCGACCTGCTCTGGGTGCTCATTTCCCCTGCACCACTTCTCTTGGGTTGCCTATGAGGACCTCTGCCCAAAGCAACGTTTAGCCACCAGCCAGAGTGTGGACAGAGATTAATCAAAGCTCACCTTCGGCAGAAATTCACATTAAGTTTTCTATTGTAGATCTTGAGAACAGTAAAAATATTCTTTCCTTTTTTTCTTTTTCTTTAAAAATAATTCCATAGTAAAATAAATATGTAAGTGAATTAGGGAACTACTTTTGTGAGTAAATAACAGAAATGCAGGAAGAGATGTCATTGTTGAGTCACAGCCTCAGAGTAAAGGTGACTGAACTGTGCTTCATTAGTTATATCTGAGTTTTCCAAAGCCATATTCAGACTTAGCATTTAAAAATCCCATCTGTGTTCTGCATAGATATATAACATGCACACATGTACGTGTATGTATGTTCACGTGTATGCACGCATACGTACATGTGTACGCACCCTCACCTGGATGGCCCGTTTCTGTTTTCTTACTTAGGAATCTGTCCACACTCCGTGAGGGTGTAAACTCAAGGGTGCGGCAGACTGTAATTCCTATCTTTGGGTATTCTGTATTGCTTAATGTGGTGATGTACAAAGTTAAGATAATCTGTAATCAGTTGTTTTGTTGGCAGTCAGGTCTCACTGGTTGTACGCCATACACTTTAGGAATTTGTTTTCTGTGGGCCCTATGAGAAAAGGACAGCACCAAACTGTCCCAGCCTGAGTAGAGCGAAGGAGAGCCAAGTCACTCTCACTTCCCCAGTCTGCCCCAGCCGGCCCTCATACTTGGTGGAGGCACCTGTAGGGGTACTCAAAACGGTGTCTTTGTTGCAGTTTCTCTAACATCATGGTTTGCTGAAAATGCTTATCTTCAAGAAAAGGACCAATCAGTTACTCTCATGAGTGGATTTGAAGATACACTGATGCTTGTTTCAACCAAAAGGATGTTTCTGACCACAGATTGGAAAACACATGAATTTGCCATTGAATTGGGAAAATTTTTGATGCCTTTCAGAATTTTTTTTCCTTTTCAGAGTATCCAAAAGACCAATTCATGGAGATCTAAGACATAGTCTTATGGAGAGGAGGCACAGGCACCTTCTGTTTGTCAGGCTGTTCTCCTTCCCTGGAAGCCTTATTCTGGGTCGTTCTGAAAGTCAGGCCTCGCCCGTGGGAGTGAGCGTGGTGCAGGTGGGAATGGGAGGCAGATCGGAGCCATGGGAGGGAATTCCATGTTCACACTTGTTTGTCAGTCTGTTTGTTTTGGATTCCAGTCTATCATCCTCCCAGTCCACAATGCTGAACCGTGGTTGGACGAATGCCTCAGGTCTGTTCTGCAGCAGGACTTCGAAGGCTCCTTGGAGCTCTCCATTTTCAATGATGCCAGTAAGGTATTTCTGAACTTCCTGTTTGTGATTTAGCCATAGTGTAAGTCACCTTGGATTGTTCAGAGGGAAGTTTCCTGACCTGCCAACCCTCATGCTTTCAGGACAAGTCCATGACTATCATTGAAAGATGGAAAGAGGAGCTAGAGGGTTCCGGCATCCTCGTGGTCATTGGAGGGCACGACTCTCCTTCCCCCCGAGGAGGTTAGTAACCATGTTTAGTCTGTTGTTCGGCTTTAATGTACGGTGTCTTGTCAGTTTATGTACTTACAGAGGTGCAAGTTCAAGTCCTGGGGAGAAGTATCCTGAGTGATGCTTCAGTTCACCACCTGTTAAGGACCCAGCAGACCTGTGAGGTCTGTATGCCGACCACTTCTCCTTTACTTATTCAGCCCAAGAAAAAGCTGTTGGGTGTTCTTATTCCTGGTGTGATTGGTCATTATTGGTCGCCTCCAATTCTTAAAATTCTTTTCTTATGGCATTAGATTTGTTTTAGTCCATTAAAAAAAATCTTCTGGTTTCTTTGATTTTATATATTATTTTTCTTTTTTCTGTTTTGTCTGTTTCCTGTTTTCACTATGAACTGTATTTATCTTCTTTCTTTTCCTTACTTCGGGTTTCTTTTGTTCTTTTTGTAGTTCTTAAGGTGGAAGCTCAGGTCGTTGGTTTGAGATGTTCCTTCTTTTCTACAAGGCATTTAGTGGTATAAATTCCTCTCTGCTTCAGCAACATTCCACAAATTCTGACATGTTTTTGTTTTCATTCAGTTTCAAAATACCCTCTAATTTCCCCGTTGTTTTCTTATTTGATTTATGGGTTATTTAGATATATATTATTTAGTTTCCAAATATTTGAAGAATTTTCCAGGTATCTGTTATTCATTTCTAATTTAATTCCTCTGAAGTAAGAGAACATACTTTTTCATTTGAATCTTTTAAATTTAGTGAGATTTATGTTGTGGCCCAGCGTACGGCCTGTCCTGGCAGATGCTCCGCGTGCACTTAGGAAGGTTGCAGGACTGCTGGTGTGCGGCGGAGTTTCCCATAAATGTAAATCAAGTCAAGCTGGGGACGGTCTTGCTGAAATCTGCCATATCCTTGCTGATTTGGGGTCTCCTTGTTCTGCCAGTTCCTGAGGGTGTGTGGAAACCTCCGCCTGTAACTGCAGATTTGTCTGTTCTTCCTCGTGGTTCTGTCACTTTTGGCTTGGTGTATTTTGAAACTCTGTTCACTTGAGATTGCTAAGAACTGACCCCTCACCACTATGAATACCCTCTTAATTTCTGGTATATTCTTTGCTCTGAAATGTACTTTCTTTGATATTAATATAAAATGCTCTGGCTTTATTTTGACTAGTGTTAGCATAGTATATCTTCTCTATCATTTTTACTTTTAACCTATTCCTGTCTTTATGTTGAAAGTATACCTTCTCCCTTATAGATTCTTGTAGACAGCATATAGATCTTGCTTTTCTAATCCAATCTGACAATCTCTGCCTTTTAACTGAGGTGTTTACATTTAGTTACCTGTGGTGTGGTTATTGATACGGTTAGGAATGAGTCTGTCTTCTTGCTGTTAGTTTTATATTCATTACGTCTATTCTTCGTTCCATTTTCCTCTTTTTTGCCTTCTTTTGTATTATATTTTATAGCAGCTTTATTGAAATATATTTGGCATACCATACAGTTCACCTGTCAAAGTATACACTGAAGTGTTTTTAGTGTATTCGCAGATGTGTGCGACCGCCACCGCAGTCAGTTTTAGAGCACTTCCATCACCTCGGAAAGGAGCCCTGTATCCCTTGGTTGTCACCTTCCGTGCCCTGCTGTTCCCCCCGACCCTGTGCAACCACTGATTTACTTTATTTGGGGCATTTCATCTGAATGGAATCATATAATGTGTGCTCTTTTGTGACGGGCTTGTTTCATTTGCTTGATGTTTTTAAGGTTCTCATTGTAGCATGTATTAATACTCTGAGAGAATAATATTCAGTTGAATAGAGACACCACATTTTGTTTATCCCCTCATCAGTTGAAGGACATTGGGGCCATTCTACCTTTTGGCTGTTGTGAAGAGCGCTAGTATGAACATTCGTGTTCAAATTTTTGTTTGAACACGGGTTTTCAGTTCCTTTGGGTATATACATTTTAAGCGAATCACTGGGTCATATTGTAATTCTGTGTTTAGCACATTGAGGAACCGCCAAACAGCTTTCCACACCAGCTGCACCATTTTACGTTGCCACCAGCAGTGTATGAGGATTCCAGTTTCTCTACGTCTTCACCCACACTTCCTATTTTCTGTCTTTTTGATTGTAGCCATCCTAGTGGGTATGAAGTGGTTTCTCATTGTGGTTTTGATTTGCATTTCCCTAATGACTAAATGATATTGAGCCTCTTTTTGTGTGCTTTTTGGCCACTTGTTTATCTTCTTTGGAGATATGTCTATTCAAGTCCTCTGCCCATTGTTAAATTGAATTATTTGTCTTTTGTTGTTGAACTGTAAGAGTTCTTTATGTATTCTGAATACTAGGCCCTTATCAGGTATATAATTTGCAAATACTTTCTCCCATGCTGTGTGTTGTCTTTTCACTCTACTGTATGTAACCTCTTGATGCACTAAAATGTTAATTTTGATGAAATCCAATTAATTTTTTCGTTGTTACATGTGCTTTTGGTGTCATATCTAAGAAACTGTTGCCAGCTCCAGGTCATAAAGACTTACTTCTCTGTTTTCTTCAAAAAGTTGAGCTCTTCTGTGTAGGTCTTTTGTCCACTTTCAGTTCATTTTCGTGTATGGTATGAGGTAAGATTTAACTCCATTCTTTTGCATGTGGACATTAAGGTTTGCCAACACCCTTTGTTGGAAAGACTGTTCTTTCTCCGTTGGAAGTCTTGGTACCCTTGTGCAGAGCAGTTGACCGTAAATGTGTGGGTTCATTTTTGGACTCTATTCTTATGCAGTACTGCACTATTTTGATTACCATAGCTTTGTGGTAAGTTTTAATATTGGGAAGTGTAAGTTTTCCAATGTTGTTTTCCTTTTTCAAAATTGTTTTGACAATTTGAGATTCTTTGGAATTTCATGTGAATTTTAGGTTCAATTTTTCAATTTTTGCAAAAAAGACCGTTGGGATTCTGATGGGGATAGCATTGGATCTGTAGGTCTATTTGGGGAGTATTCACATTTTAACAATATTCAGTCTTCCAGTCTGTGAATGCAGAATGTCTTTTCATTGATTTAGGTATTTAGGTCTTCTTCAGTTTCTTTCATCAGTTTCTTTTACAACTGACAATGTACAAGTCTTTTGCCTCTTTGGTAAAGTTAACTCTCAGCATTTTATTCTTTTTGATGCTATTATACATTGAATTATTTTCTTAATTTCCTTCTCAGACTGTTCATTGTTAGTTTAGAGAAAAACAACTGATTTTTCTGCATGTTGATCCTGCAACTTTGCTGAACTTGTTCATTAGCTCTGATAGTTTTGTGTGTGTGTGTGTGAGTTTCTAGGGTTTTCTGTATTTAAGATCACGTCATCTGCAACTAGGGGTAGTTTTACTTCTTCATCTCTAATTTAGAGCCCTCATTTCTTTTTCTTGCCTGATTGCTCTGGCTAGAACTTCTGGTACAGTGTTAAATAGACGTGGGGAAAGGAGACATCCTTGTCCTGATCCTGGTCTTAGGGGAAGCTTCTGATATTTCACTGTGGAGCGTGATGTTAGCTTGGATTTTTACAAATACCCTTTATCATGCCGAGGAAGTTCCCTTCTATTCCTAGTTTGTTGACTGCTTTTCTTTGTCATGAAAGGGGATTCTGTCCAGTCTTTTTTCTGCATCAATTGAGATGATCATGTTTTTTTTTTTTCCTTCAATTCTGTTTAGGTGCTATATTACATGGATTTTGTGTTTGAACCACCCTTCATTACTTCACCACTTGGTTATGGTGAATAATCTTTCCGATATGTATTTTCCCTTAATTATTCCTTGTTTTCATTATCTTTAGTTTGTTTGAAATAGGACATTTTTTTATAAATCAGTTATTCTTAGAACATTTACTTCAGCTTGGTTCTGTTGTGTGTAAACAAATTGTGGTTTTTGAAACTACTGTGAGCACCCTTTCAAAATATTCTTTAAGATGGACAGTATCTTCCATAGTTGAATGAAAGTAAATTGAAGGCATTTTGATGACCGTTGTGACGACTTGTCTAATCTCCACCTTAAAAACAAGTTTTGTCTTTCGTAAAACACTTTTTATAGGTCACGTATAACTAGAGCCACATCTGTACACGTTCTATTAGTAACAAGAGAGTAAGTCGTAATATTGTGGAGAAATGAAGTCATCTGCCGCTTCTTTGAAGTTGGATGAGGCGACTTCACGGGCTCCTGTGTTACACAGAAATGCAGTGGAGTTAATTTGATTATGTCTGCAAGGACGTATTTTCCTGTAACAATGTTTTCTTAAATAGGAAGAATTATATCGACTATTGGGTAACATTGATCCAAAGTGTCTATTTTCGGGAGTGCTGGGTGTTTAAATTGGATTAGGATTCACTTGCTATTATTTCATATCGTAACAGAGCCAAACATTTCTTAATAATGTGGTCGCTTGCTAAAACTGAAATAAAGCACAATCCCCCTCTTCTCTCCAAGAGTGAGGAATGTTAATATCACACCAAGGCGGGAGTTTTTCCTGCTGTGGCCATGACAACAGACTCCCTCACAAAGACACGGGCCTCCCCAAACATTAGGCCCTGGCACAAACATTTGACTTTTCAAGGCAGTAATATTAAAGCAAATTCCTTACAAACACAATCTTTGCCAAACACAAGATTCGTCGTGAGAACCTTCCCGCTTCCTTAGTAGGTGCCCCTTCCTTCATCACCCAGACTCTTGGGTTCAGTTTCTCCTCTTCTAAAGCCCAGCACTAATAAAGCCACTTTTCAGACAGAACTCCGGTTGCTTTCAGTGTGATTGTGGAAAGTCTCTTCCCGTTTTCATGAAACCCCTGAGCTCTTCTGCTGGGCCTGCCCTGCTTTTCGGTGATGATGGAGACTCAGCCTCCCCCTGGGCTCAGGGGCCAGGCTGTACGTTTCCCTCTCCTGCTGGTTGTACCTGTGGTTCTTTGAAATCTGCAGCCATCCTGCTGACTGATCTGGGTTGAGCAAGCTCTAGGATTGATGCTGAAGGCTCTGCTCTGGTCACACCCTCTGGTGACCTGAGTGTGCACTGAGATTCTTACTTCTGGCTGAAGTGTTGTTTGCTCCAGAGAGTGGCTGAGTGACAGGAGGGACCTGCCTTCTCCCCCTGCTCTGAGGCAGACACTTTGCCAGTGTCCCCTGGGCCCCATGACGACATTCTTCACGGTATCTCAGCTTTGAGGAAGAGGGAGTTACCGTTTTAACTCTGCACACTCCTGTTCTCCTTTGTGTGACTTGTCTTGGAGGCACCAAATCAGAATGTGTCTGTTACGCAATTCAGGTGTCAGGACTTCTTTTTGAGGGAAGGTGGGAGTGTGCCCCACGAGTCCCTGCAGACCCCTCTGTTTGGGTCAAGTGCCTCCTCTGATCTGTCCTGCCCTCAGCACCTGACTGAGCTCACTTAGTGTTAATTTCTGCTCCATTCCTTATTTGGAACCCTTTCCTGGCCGGCCCTTCCTGGAAGCTGGCCGGTGCTCACTTGCCCTGACCACCTGGTGCCCTCGTGCTGCTCACACCCAGTTCCCCCCAGGACCTGTGCCTGCACCGTGCTCTCTCCATTTAAGCGCACGTCCCCTCGCTTGCCCCTTGTCGGGGTCTCTTCTCGACAAGCCTCCCGGTGCCTCCCACTGTGCTCTTGGATTTAACCAGAGGTTATCATTTACCTCTCCAGCTCAGCTGTGTAATCTCGCTGAAGGAAAGAGATTGCCTTTTAAAAACATTTGTTTGTTTGTTTGTTTAGGTGGGGAGATAATTAGGTCTACTTATTTATTTTCATAGGGAGTACTGGGGATTGAACCCAGCACCTTGTGTATGCTAAGCATGTGCTCTACCACTGTGCTGTATCCGCCTCCCAAAAAACATTTATTAAAATGTAAATCCGTACAGAAAACTACACCTGTCATCACTGCACAGCTCAGTTAATTTTCACAAACTAAACGCACCGTGCAGCCAGCACCTAGATGAAGAGCCGACGTCACCAGCCCCAGAAGCCCCCTCCCCGAGACAGCCACTCTCCTGATTTCCAGGAGCACAGGGAATCTGCTGCCTTGTGCTCCGACTGCCATCCCCACGTCTGCTCCCTGTGCCCGTCGGTCGGAGTGGCGCCCACACTGTGCAGCCAGGACCATCCACGCTCCTCGTGGTGTAACTTCACCCCCGAGGGATCCCTGGGGCAGCCCCGACTTGGTGGAGTGGGGTCTGCACCTTGTCACAGTGCAGCAGGGGTCACAGTACCTGTAGGTGCAGTGGACACCGCCAGGGCTTCATTTCCTGCAGGGAGCACACCTGCCCTAGTGCATGTCTTATCAGTGCACTTGCTGCGCCTGTTTCTTCTAAGGCACCTGGTTTTCCACTTGGTGGCACAGAGTTTTCCCAGCTTTCTTACCGTGTGCATCCCACTAAATTTTATGAAAGGGAATCCACTGAAAATTGAATTCTAAAAGAGCTTCTCCTTTTCTTTTTTATATAGTTGGATATTCTAAAAATCAAGCAATAGCACAGAGCTCGGGGTCTTACCTCTGCTTCTTGGATTCGGTAAGTAACTCTTTGCTATACTTAAAATGTATGAATGTATCCTGCTTGAATGATTAAGAGATACTACATTTTAGTGTGGTTCTTGAAAATCATTGTTATGTGCTTTGCTCAGACTCGACAGTTAAGGTCCGTAGGTTGTTGCTGTTTAATTGCTGTAGCACCTGATGAGGGAACTGATTTTGGATAAATAGAGTTACTTAAAAACACAAAATTGCAGAGCAGAGAAACATAAAAAGAAAACGAAGATGAAGATAAACTAGGAAGCTGTTGAGAAGTGCAGTACTTAAATAGAAATAATTCATGCAAGTTGGTAACACAAGAAAACAGGAAACAAAAGAAAACGAGTGGTAGATACATAGGAAAGGACAGGAATGGAGGCTCACAAAAGTAGGCATGTGAACAACAAACTAAGAAACGTTTGTAATCAAGCACAAGTTAAATTAGTGAACATATGAGAAAGAATATATGTGCATATATGCATGACGGACACTGTGCTGTACACCAGAAATTGACACATTGTAATTGACTGTGCTTCAATTAAAAAAATTAAATTAGTGAGATACCACTTTTAAAAACCAAATTAACAAAGTTCTCTAAAAATGTAGATACTCAGTGTTTGGAAACTCAGTGTGAACTGGCAGCGTTGACAGCATGATTTAGCATTTTGTATTAAAACTTTTGAAATGCTTATGCCCTTGACCCCTGGATTTCACTTCTAGGAACCCATGAAATTCTGAAATTTACGCGTTTATTTATTATGATGGAAAGTTAGTTAATGGAAACAAGTTGATATTCGATGGTAGAGTAATGGCAGTCAGTCTGTGTCAGCCGATTACTATGTTTATGGATAATTTTAATGACACGTGAATGACTATGATGGGTGAAAGAAGGGCACGTGTTGGTGTGTGCATGCGTCCTTACCTGTAGACTTTATCTTTAGTGGCTGCAAGTCACTCTGAGGACATTTATCTGTCTTCAGTCTTCCCTTGGGCTCCCGGGTCCTGGGGTGGGGGGCTCCTCCAGGTCTGGGAGTGTGGGGCTCCCAAGGGTGTGGGCTCCTGGATCTGGGGGTGTGGGCTCCCAGGTTACGTGTTCTTTGTCAGATGTGTTCTCTCCATCTGTGGTTTGCCTTTTCACGCTTCAATGGTGTCTTCTGATGAGCAGTTTTAAATTTTTATGAAGTCCAGTTTATTGATTGATCTCTTTTATAGTTAATTTTTTCCCTAAGAAGTCTTCGCTTTTTCCAAGGAAGTTATTCTCTTGGTTTTTTACTTTTTTATTTGAACACCTTATCTCCTGTGCTAGAAAGCAGGTTAGTTTTTTCATACGGGTTTTGGGCTGCAGTGTTGAAGAGACTCTTTCTCAGTTGAATTGTCCCAGCGTCTTTGATGAGAATCAGTGGGCCATGCCAGCATAGGTGTATTTCAGGACGTTCCATTCAGTTCTGTTCATCTGTGGTCTGCAGTTCATTCCTTTGTCTGCGGTACAGCATCCCACTGGGCAGACATACTGCACTTCCCAACCCGGGCGCAGGGCTGGTCCGAGTTCTTCCCCTGTGAATGGCGTGGTGGTGGGCTGTCTCGCACCCGCCTCTTGTGCACATAGGAGAGCTCTTCTGCGTTCACCCCAGAAGTGGGATTCCCAGCCCGCAGGGACATGCGGGCTCACCCGAGGGAGAGAGCGGTGCTGCTGTCACGTGGCTGAAGACGTCCGTGGCCCCGGCACACACTGGCCCTGGCTCTTCGGCCCCGGAGCCCTTTGCTGGGGCATCCAGGTTGCATTTTGACTTGTTAGCCACCTGGGATGCAGTCTGGGACCATGTTTAGATTCAGAACATATTTTGTCAAGAGTGTTAACATCGGTGGAGACCAGCTCCCGTGCGCTTCTGGGACTGGAGTTTATCTGTTCAGCAGGTTGGTGCCTGAAAGTGCCGGGCATGGCAGCCAGTGCGAGGGATCCGGCAGTGAACTGGCTGCGACAAGGACAGTGGGAGCCAGAGTTCAGGCCCCGTACTTCCCCCACCCCCTGGTCCTGCCTTGTCTCTCTCCTAACCCTGCCTGGCCCACGGTCCCCCCACCCCACCGCCCGCTCCTCAGCGATGCTCCCAGCCCTCCACGCGGTGGTGGGAATGGCCTGTGCCTGGGCTGCCCCCCAGCACTTGAGTCTGCGCACATCGATCGCCACCTTCAGCACCGCGTCCTTTGTTGCCAGCATCGGCTGCCTCCCTGACAGAAGGCTGTCTTCGGGCAGGAGGGACTGGACTGATGTTTCAGAAGCACCTGGAACATGACTGGCAGGTAGCAGGTGTTAATGGACACTTGTTAAATGGATGGGTGGCATTTGGGTTTGTGTGTTCGGCTTAAATGGGCAAATTAGACTGAGGTGGACACCTCTACACACGTGTCCTGGAGCCCAGCCACCCTGTTGGACGTTGTCTCCACGGAGAGTGCAGTGCTGAGCTTCTCCGTCTGCTCACCGATGGACTTTCAGAATCTCTGCTGTAGCGCAGGCTTTCAGACTGTGCTGTCTGGGTGCCTGTCCTGCCGGCTGCTGCCTGGGGGCCAGCAGGCCTTTCCAGGGACATCGGAAAGGCCTCCCCAAGGACCTTGCTGTCCCTCTCAGTCCCAGACATGTCTGAGGATGTTTGTCCTGGAGGGAAGCGGGTCACGCAAAGATCAGCAGTGTTTCAGGTGTGCAGGAGGCCGCCGCCCATCCCCTCACTGGGAAGTTGCAGTCTTGGGGACAGTCACTCTGGGCCCGCAGGAGAAGCACAAAGTGCAAGGACACGGATTCCCCCCAGAAGGAGTACCATGCTGAGTGGGCCTGGCGCCTCCCGCCGGGGTCAGCGGGGCTCTGGCCTTTGGCCTTGGGACAGAGGACCTGCACTGTGTGACCTGGGCACTATCATCAGGAAATTCTGCTGGAAGGGGTGTCTGTGGCCTTTCCTGGGAAAGGTTTTGCAGAGCTTAGGGGGGATGCCGGTTGCATTTGCTTAGGTGGTCCTTGATTTCTTTCACCAGCATTTTGTGGTTTTCAGGATACAGATCATGTGCTTATTTTGTTAAGTTTGCACTGATGTATTTCATTTTCTTTGGAGTATTTGCACATGGACGTCATATCTCTAATTCCTGTGCCCACATGTTTGTTGTTAGTGTGTAGAAATGTGATTATTTTATGTGTCAATCTTGCAGAACTTACTTGTTCTAGGATTGGGGGGCAGACTCCTGAGGATTTTCTAGGTGGACAGTCATGACGCCTGCAGATGGGAACACTTTCATCGCTTCCTCTCTGAGCGGGAGGCTCTTTATCTGCTTTTCGTGCCTGATTGCTCTGGCGGGAACTTCTGAGCGTGTGGAGCAGGGGTCCTCACCTTCTGATCTGGAGGAGGTGCCAGCCTCTCGCTCCATGTGCCAGCTGCATGCCAGGCCGAGGCGCGGCCCTCTGTCCCTGGCTTGCTGAGAGTTTCTATCGTGAACAGGTGTTGGGCTCTGTCACATGCGTTTTCGGTCCGTTGGAATTTGTTGGTTTTTAAGATGTGTTTGTTACTGAAGATACATAAGATTTTTCTCATCTTCTTGGAATTTGGGGATTTTTCCGTGTGTGTCAAGAATCATTTCTGGACAGTGGCAAACTCTTCCAAGGTGCGGACTCAAGGTGTTTTCAAATGAGGTGAAATTTTCTGTGCTGGCTCTTACTTTTTCCTTCTGCCTGGTTTTCCCCTTTGCGGCCCTCGTGTTCGAATGTTGGGTCTTACAGTTTGCATTTCTCTTTAGTTTTGTATTTCCCTGTTAGACCTTACCATTCATTGGTTCAGTGATGAACTGTGACCAGTCCTTCGCTTCTGCCGTTGCTTTTGGAAGTTAAATAGCGTGGTTCCCGTTCCTCCAGTGCTGGGGCACCTCTGAAAGTTCCTCTTTTTTGTTCTCTCCTCCAGCAGCTCTAGAGGGCGGCTCCACTCTGTGGCCCAGGTCCTCTTGGCTGCATTAATGGTTGGTTTTGTTTGTTTATGGCTCTCTGCACCTCGGAGGTCAGGCCACACTGTCCGGCGGCCGTGGTGGCGGCACGTATGCAAGGAGGTGTGGGATCTCCGCTCCTGGGATGGGACCCTTTTGTCCACAGTGGGGTTGAGGGTCTCTGCTGGGTCTGGGAGAGGCCTGGTTCCAGGTGTCCTGGGTTTCTGGCCAGTTCTTTCCCAGCCTCAGGGGTAAAGAGAAGCGTGCTTGTCTGGTGCCCTTTTCCCCAGTTCTCCTGGGGGAGCCCACCAGCCCTGCCCAGGCATCCATAGATCTGCAGACTCCTGGAGCAGGGAGTCAGTCTTGGGGTGCTGCCCACCATCCCCTCAAGGTCCTGTGCACTTGTGGCCTTTGCTGCCTTCTGGCCTGGCCGCTGTGTTGGTGAGGGTGTTTGATGCAGCTGGAGGGTGTCAAGCACAAGATCTCAGACCCTGTGTTTGCAGCATTGTGATCACGCCCCACCCTCCCCTTCCCCCAGCACCACAAGGCTGCTTGTCTGGCTGCAGAAGGTGGTTGAGGCTGTGTTGACTGGCAGAGGCCGGCCCGGCCTCCCCGACCCTCTCCAGGCACTGACCGCATTGAGGGTGGGAGGCTTCCATCAGGCTCGCCCTGGTCTTCCGTGTTCCAAGGAGTGTTATTGCCACACCTGGAATGGCCGCGTCGTCTTCATCTCCTGGTGGGGCCAGCTTCCTGGACTGTCCCCCCTTTCCCTCCAAGGATATGTTTATACCTAGTAGGTTTAGTCATCACATGACATTTGCTCACTGAGAGACCCAGGAAGGTGGTGTGGAGGCCATGAGAGCCCGCCTGTGCCTGCTGTTCATCTGGGGTCGTCTGGGGTCCGGGGACAGCTCGCAGCACCACATCTCCCATGTGTTCCGGTCTAAGGCAGCAGTGGGCCACCAGCCTGGGAGACAGCCCCGCACTGCGGCTGCAGGGAGAGGCGTGGGAAGGGCTGTCTCTCTGAAGCGCATACGGTGCTGCGCC